AAACGTAAGAAGAAGACGAACAGGGTAAGTCAGAGAGAGAGGGGAGGGTGCTGTGGGGAAAAGATGAAAAGTTGGGGGGGGGGGGGGGGCGTAAATAGCAAAAAAAGAGCAAGCGAAGGAATTGTACTGCTCTCCTCGTAACTGAAACCCTATTTGTCGTGCAGCTACCAATGGAGTGTGGTTGGCCCCCCTGGCTCCTTCCTGCCACCCAGTCACGGGATGTGTCGACTTTTAGTAACGACTCTCTTCAAATTTATCACGTCTTTTTCTATTTATCGCGCTAATTTCACTTCGTCGTCGCACATTGGGCTTTAAATGGGCCCCCGACCCATAATAGATTTTTTTGTTTTTTTTTTACCATAAATTGCATAAAAAAAATTAAGATCTAATCCAAATATAACTTACAATTTTGGTTTTAATAATATTTGTCTTGTTGCTAAAAGTAATGTTATTGAGTTAAAACAATATTGTATTCGGTAAAAAAAAAAAATTAGTATTAATATAAAAATAATTTGAATAGTATTTACATATTTTTTTTCAACATTACTTTAACAACCTAAATTAATTATCATAATTACGTTTTAGTATGATTATCAGTTTGAAATTAAGCAGACACTGTTTAAATAGTTTATAACAAATATAAGTTTATTAAACTAGAAAATATATAATTAATTAATTTTAAATTTTTATTTGAATTGAAAAAGTGTGTGCAAACTAAGTTGACTAAAAAAACTCGTGGCACCAGTCGGAGCAAAGGGTTTTAGGCAGATCATGTTGCAACAGAGTTGGACAAACCCGTTGGGGCCCAGTAATCAAAGAACATACATGCTCTCTGAATTTTATTTTATATTAATAAATTTAATATGTTATTGTTGTAAATTTTAAGAAATAAAATATTATTCTGAAATTCAATTAAATTTTTTTTATGTTTCTCCAAACATATTATTTATTATTAAAATTATTTTCACGAGAAATGGAAAAATAAAATAATAATAATAATAATAATAATAAAAGGGGGTTTACATGTGAGAAACAGGACAGGGATAGAAGTCGGCCTGTCAAGTCGCTGTTCATCTTTTATTGTTTTTCCTCAGTATTTAACGTTAAATCACATCGTTTCAGATTTCAGAGCAGCAAGCCCCCCATTTCTCTCTCTCTCTCTCTCTCTTTCCTCTCGCTATATCTTCTTTTTTGCTCTGTTGCTGATTTGTTTTCAAATTTATTTTTTGTATTTGTCTTCATTTTTATTATTCTTTTTTCTTTCTGCTGCTACTGTTAATTTTGAAGCCATGTGCTTTTATTTTGTTTGCTTTTGAGGGTGGGAACTGAAGAAGAGAGAAAGGAGGAATCTATATAGCTAGTTGTTGCAACTTTGAAAATTCACATGCCAACCCTTTCCCCAAACTAGCTTGCCTGCTTTTCGTATCTGCTTGTGTATTTTTTTTCTCTTGTGTGATAGAAAGAGAGAGAGAGAGAGAGAGAGAGAGAGAGAGAGAGAGAGAGAGGAGGGAGAGAAAGAGAAAGAAAAGAGTTTTGAGACTTTCATTCCAAACAGCACTGAAGAAATGACTAAAGAAGAAGACTTTAAGCTCCTCAAGATTCAGGTGTTTAACTCTTCTCACCCACATTCTTTTGTTTTCCTTTCTTTTTCAAGCATCTTTTTATTTTTATTTTTTAAATTTTTTATTATTGTTTATGTTCTTTCTTTTCTTCAAGAATCTTTATTCCTGTTTTTGTTGTTTGTTTTGTTTTCTCTTTTTTCTTTTTATAAAAAATTCAGACTTGTGTTCTCAAAGTGAACATTCACTGTGATGGGTGTAAGCAAAAGGTGAAGAAACTGCTTCAGAGAATTGAAGGTGCTCACTGTCTCTTCCATCCTTTTTATTTTATTTTTTAATTTTATTCGTTGTTTGTGTTCTTGTTTTTGACTCATTTTTATCTGTGTCCCCCCCCCCCCCCCCCCCCTTCACCCAATATCTTTGCCGAGAAATTCAGGCAGAAACTACTAATAAGATATTTCATCCATCTTTATTTATTCTTGGACAAAAGTGGTGATCCCCCCCTTAAGAAGCAAGTTCTGTCATTTACTAAAACTGAGCCCTAATGGCTTTTATGCTGGTGGGATTCTTTTTGCTAGAAAATATCTCTCTTGGGTTCTTTTCTGCTTTCCGGTTAGATGAGGAAACAAGAGCAAGTCTTTAAAATTCACTTCACCTTTGTGGTTCCCCTCATTAAACCAGGGCAGAGCATTTGTTACTCTGTTTTCTGGGTCAGGCACTTGAGAAGGAGAAAAACGTTTTCCATTTTACTTCTAGTTAACGTGATTTGAATTTTTAATTCACTATCTTGAGAAAATTGTTACTTTTGGCTTGAGAACTATTGGATAATTCACTATCTTCGGCTGAAGAAGGCTTTCGAAGTTACTCTGTAGTGGTCATCCTAATTTAGTGTTCGTAATATGAAGTTTTCAATGCCTTCCAGGTGTTTACCAGGTAAGCATAGATGCAGAGCTGCAAAAAGTCACGGTTTCGGGGAGTGTAGATTCTGCAACTTTGATAAAGAAGCTGGTTAGAGCCGGCAAACATGCTGAGATTTGGTCACAAAAGGCCAATCAAATCCAAAATCAGAAGCAAAAGAACAACTGCATCAAAGATGAAAAAAACAAGGGTGGACAAAAACAGCAAGGCTTGATGAAGGGTCTCGAGGCCTTCAAGAACCAGCAGAAGTTCCCTACATTTGTATCTGAGGAGGATGATGACTATTTTGATGATGATGATGAAGACGAAGAAGATGAGCTGCAGTTTATCAAAGCAGCAAACCAACTGGGTCAGCTGGGTTTGCTCAGGCAACAGGGCCTTGATGCTAGTAATGCAAAGAAAGGTGTTGCGCCCATTGTGGCAGCTCCTAACAACAATAAAATGAACAATCTTGGTAATGCGAATAATGCTGGAAAAAAAGGGAACAGTACTCCAAATCTCAATGTAGGAGTCAGAGTGAATCCGGGAGGGATTGATCAGAAAACTATGGCAGCTCTGAAAATGAGCAATGCTCATATTGGAGGTGGAAACATAAATAACGGTGGAGATGCCAAAAGGGGAAATGACATTCATGCCATGATGGGGCTTGCTGGTTTACATGCGAATGGAGCTAATATGGGTAATGCTACTGGTTCTGCTGCTGCTTTGGGAGGCAATCGCAATGGTCTTGGAGGTTTTCAAGTTCAACCTAACAATGGGTTTCAAGGGCCATCGTCAGCCGCAGGGATTCCGAATAATGGGTACGTTACTGGTCAATATCCATCATCTGTGCTCACGAACATGAATGGTTACAACCATCCATCAGCAATGATGATGAACATGAACATGCAGAATAGGCATGTCATGCAACAACAGCCCCAAATGATGTATCATAGGTCTCCTTTCATCCCTCCGAATACAGGATATTACTACAACTACAGCCATGCTGCACCCTACTCTTACCCAGAACATCCTAACGGCAATGGTGATCATTCTGCAGCAACCCACATGTTCAGTGATGAGAACACTGGCAGCTGCTCAATAATGTAATGAAGAAAAATATATGTTGTAAAAAAAAAAAGGAGAGAACACGGGGGTTTTGACTTGAAATTTCTCTCTTTTTCAAAGAAGCCAGTAGGTTTTGGACAGTGTTATGAATGTTTTATGCGGGAAAAGATAGGTATGGATGGGATGTCTCAGTGAATCCTATCGCTGTATTGTGTAGTAGTTAAGATTATGTTTCTTACTTTTCCTATTCACCAGCTCTGTCTGCTTGTTTCTTTTCTTGGTTTTATGGTCTGGCTTCATTTGTGGGAGTAGTTCGCATACCACAATATATTAGTAAATAAACTGAAAATTGTTTGGATTTTGATATGTATATATATATATATATATATATGAAGTCTGGTATTGGGTGTTCTCATCTTTTCTAGGAGGACCATGGATGGTCAAGCAACTCTGAAGTTTTTGTTTATTTTAGTAGATACTTGTTTGCATAAGAGACAGGATGACATTGGGCACTGTATATGTGGCAGAGACATGATGACAATCTGTGCCAGAGGATAGGAACACAGCTGGGTTGACATTGCATCCGATTAGTGCACTATGTATGAGCAATGCTAGGTTTGTGTGCACGTGCCTTTCGCGTGCTTACTTGAGTGCTTCGCTGACAGGACCACAAACTTTTTAACTAACTTGTGCTACCAGGATTAAGAGCATTTAACTGGATTCTTCATTAATTAATGTTAAGGGCTCACATTATTAACTAACCAGCTAAAAGAAAACATATTTGACACTTGTCATTATATAATGGGAAACTTGGCAGCAAATTGCCTAATTAAATTTTTTTTAATATTCCTTGTGTTTTAAGCATGCGTGGAGAGCATTATATGTAAATCTCAGGGCAGTTGGATTAAATTAAGAGGGCGAAAGAAAGAGACATGGAATGTATTAAGCTTTTCTAAAAACACCTTTAGAAAAAGAGAACAGAATAGGAAGTCAATTTGACCCTCGCCGGCTTTAAATCAATTGGGTAGAAAAAAAGAAATTCATGAACTGAGATGGTGACCTACTGGCACTGAAGTGTGATTTATATATGCCCGGTTGGAGAAGATCCCAACTTTTGAGAGAGGCTACAGACACCTTTTTTAATGTGTGTGTATATACGCACACACACATATATATCTAAATTCTAAAGACCTAAAATTTGACAGATTTTAAAAGCATAGACATTAGTGTCTAGATATTTTGGTAATTTGTGGTACCTATCTCTAACCATATGCATTTTGTATTCTTCTTTAGTTGTTGATGTAGAGAAAATATCTCGCATTAAACTTCAAAGATGATGTCACTAAACTTTAGTCTAATACTAATTATTTGCTAATATCAGCTAATTTTATTGCCTAGAATTGATGTATAATAATATGAGATTAAAAATTTACTTATTTGTGATATGATTGAGGATGCATACCTAAAAGTAGGAAGGTAAGATCTCATATCTTTTGAATTATGGAGTCTATTAATCACCTGTAAGATAAAAGTGTTAAAAGGAGATCAAATCTCACTTATATTGATTATTAAACATAATAAAAAATTATACAGGACTAGAATATATGAGAGGATAACAAAACTCATAACTGGCTAATTTTGTTTTGAACTAAGGGAGCTAACAATAGTTTATTAGGACAAAGATTCCAAAGAAAATGAAGTGATCAATGAGTGGTTGCAATTAGCGAGAAAAATCAGAAAAAATATTTGAAAAAGTCCCAAATGAATTTGAGCAGATGAAAAGCAACTTAAAAGAATACATGTCAAAAAGGGCATCCAGGACTTGGAACCATATCCTAATTGTTATAACAAATACCAACAATAATAAATCTAATTGGGTAAATTTGGTAGCACGAATTACCAACAAATATAATCATGCAGGAACTCGTAAAATGTAGAAGAAACATTACATGAAGAATTCACACGATGGTATAACAATTGTAAATAAAATCAAATCATATGTAGATTTACAAACTTAAAATTAGTTTGGAAAATTAACCTTTATGCCAAAGATGCCTGCTTATCTCTTGCTCTGCAGAAATTTCTAGGGCAGGGCTCATATGTACAGTATTCTCCCTCTGAACTCACATGCAGCAATTGCATATAATCATATTGCAGAATTTGATTGATAACGAGATCAAAAGCAATCAGTACTGTCGAATCTGTGATCAATAGCATAGTTAACAAGCATATTCAGTAACCGAATGTAAATTCAGAGCTGTTAGAAAAAAAAAAAAAAACGAACAAACAAAAATGATTACATGAACATATAATTTAGCACAACCTTAAGACCCATGAAAAATTCATTGACACATTAAGAGAAGCGCAGATATGCCATCAAAACATAGCATTCTTACTGGAAGAGAAGCTAATGTCTTCTGTTCCATGATGCGCTTTTTTAAGATGAAGCAAAGAGCCAAATACTAAACCCACATTACCAGCCCTTCTTTGCTTACTTCCCATTTGGCATTATTCTTGCCATGAAAAACATGTCCAACAGACACCAAGTTGTAGAGATTAAGGGTGATAAGGTCTGGTAGATTCTAGTAATCTCCAGGAGCAATTATCTGACTTTGTCTGACCCTAAAAGAGTAAAAATGCAGACTTGCATGCGATCTTGTTTTACCAAAATATAAATTTACAGTTATTGCTTGCATGTAGTTGGCAACCACTGCATTTGATTTTATGCCTGGCATATAGGCTAAATCGTGTGATTCATATCTTTAATCTACTCCTTGCAGCAGCCCTATTACAATACTTTCCAGTTTCCACTATATTTTTCTTCTCATGCAAGTCATATGACAAATAAACTTGCACCTGTTTATACAAAAATTTTCTTTAGCCATAGCAATTAATAACCAGGAAGAATTTCAAAAATTTTTGCTGTGAGCATGATTTGTGTTTGTGCTATTTACCAGTCTGGATTTTGCTTTTGGTGCTCACTCTCCTCATTGTGGTGTTAATTTCCATGCACGAATACAGGCATCCTCCCCTGAACTGACCACAGTTGAGTCATCAGTAAAAACCAAGCCATGAACTCCACCTAGATGAGCATTCCTTATGGTAATGCGGCTTGAAGCAGGCTTTGCGATTTCATATATGATTACACAAGTGTCTACAGATCCAGTGGCAACCATAGAGCTATCAGGAGACCAAGCTAGGCAGTTTATGCGAGCAGTGTGGAACAGCATGTTGTTAAGTTTCACCTGCAAAGAACTTATATCAAGACTCTGTAGTACTTCAAATCAGAAATAAAACATCAGGACATCTTATTTTAATATCATACTTTATTTTAAAAAAGTAAATAAGATCTCTAATGAAACTGAAAGTTCCAGAGTGAAATTGAATGAAGTATTACCTTACATTGATAGAAAAGAAGCATACAAGAAAGTCACCAGAAAAGAACAATATACAAGAATCATATAAGAAATGAGAATTTTATCCATTACTAGGCAGTGATTCCCACCAAAGAAAGTTTAGGAGGAAGGATCTCATAGAGAATTAACCTTTTCAACCTTCCTATGGGGCAATCACTTTCAAGAACAAAATTCAAACCTGTATTCTTGAATATGATCTTGTCAGCACAAGAATTTACCATTTTTAGTACAAAAGCTTCTATTTATGGGAAAAAAGGACGGAAAAGATGATGCCCTCTCTGTGGGCTTCTCTACATATAGGGATCTTCCATCAGCATATATGGTTCAAAACAGCTTACTTAGAAACATGGCCCTCAAAATCAACAATTTATAGGGTTCATGAGACAGGTTAGTGGGGATTATAGTTCAGCTAAATATGAAACTTGCATTACTGTTGCTGTCAGACCTCCAAAATTATATCCAAAGACAAAAGCAACCTATTGAGCAAAAGCTTGAAGAAGAATGATAAATTTTCAGAAACTAATGGACAAATAACAAAAATATTGTTGATCAGCTACCTGTCTAGAGGCACGATCCCAAACAACAGCTTCACGGTTGCCATCAGCTGAAGCAAACATAGAAGCATCTGGAGAGTACCGTATCACACTTATTGGACCTCTGTGCTTCTCGAGTACTGCTTCTTCTGTGAGGGTATTGCCTGAGATAGAGAAAATGTGCAACTTACCGTCCTGTCCACCCACAATTGCTTCCTTCCCATCAGATGCAATTGCAGATGCCGTCACAGTAAACCCAAGGTTGACATTACACGCAACTTTCAGGCTGTTAAGCAAGATAACTCCGCATTCGGTTGAAACCAAAGTCAATTCAGGGATATTAGCAGCGAGACTCAAGTCCTTTGGTTGGCTGCCAACATCAACATTCTCTGCAGCTTTAGAGTCATCCTCATTCAGATGAATCCTCGATACCTAATTGAATATGTTTCAATGCCAGGTTCAGCATTTTTATTTCTAAAGGATGCATTGAAACTGAAAATAAAAAATCTTATAGATCATTAGACAACAGAAGGCGTGATTGTTTAAAAATTAGAATGTAGAACTTTTCTCTGGTAACATTTGATTAACCTTTTTTAGTGTAAGGGCTAAACTAATAAGCACTTATTTCTAACAAACAGTCTGCCTGATCCAAAGCTATGTTAACATGCCATAATTGGACACGTTTTGCAACTTATTAGACGAACATTACGCTTACCATGCACTTTGTTTACATGGAAGTGGAACAAGCAGAAATGTATGTTTAAAGGTCTCATGTTTAATGCATGACCACAAGAAATGTAAGATCAAAATTAAACTGTCATTTTTGCTACAATAAGAAATGAAAGTTTTCACACAATTAATTGATTCTCTTATAGTTCACCTTGTTGTCAAATCCAGATGAGATAATCTGTTGTTCATTAGCTGCTAAACATTTGATTTTAGCACCATCTTTCATTTGTAATTTGCCACTGCACCCAACCCCTAGAACCCATTTGACAATGAGTCCATCATAGCTGCCGGATAGTATCATTTTCTGGTTGCCTTCGAGGAAACTTAATGCACAGACATTCTTCATATGTCCAGATAATGATGATGGGCTTTTGTCAAGGTCACTTGCAGAATATAAGTTCATTGTGCCCCCAAGTGAAACAGTAACAAGATGATCATTCTGCCAAAGACATCCAACAAGCATGTCATCTACTCCGCCTGATCCAGGACATGCCAATGTCTTTTTTACCTTTCCAGCACTACCATCCCCAGAAATGTCCCACACCTTTGCAGTCTTATCAGCGGACACAGTAAGTATCTGATCTAATTCATGTCAGCTTGTTAGGAGAAAAAATGTAAAGATGATGTAGCCGGACGACTTAAAATTATTAAAAAATCCATCAAAAATAAAATTCAGAATATCGAATCTCTCTAGAAATCATTCATGGATGGACAAGAAAAAGCGATTATATTTCCTAAGGAAGCAATAAAACCAGGAACCAATTTAAGTTTTCAGATAAAGAAAATGAATTTCCTTAGATGTGAACTTTCCAAAGGAAGCAAAAGGCTTAATCCATAACAAATCGAAATTTAACCTGTTTTCCATCAGGGCTCCAGCTAACAGCATAGATGCTGCCCTTATGGCCATCTTGTGAGGATAACTCTCCAATTTTTTCTGCACTTTTTCCATCATAGATTAAACCCTTTTTATCCGAGCTTACACTGATGAATTTGCTGCCATCAGGAGAAAATCTAACACAGTTGACAAAATTTGAGTGCTCCCTGCAAGTTAAAGAGCAAAACTTAAAGCACCACTCTGATGTTCTTTTCTTTTCCTTTAAAGATTTCCGGCAACCAACAGAAAAACTTAGAATCTTGTTATGGATTAACCTTCAGGACACCATATTGAAAGCTCATAAAACATCTAACAGAAAGAGTTAGATGCCAACAATAAGAGAAAAGAAGTTGAAGTATTTGTATCAGTATAATGTATTTTTGTACAGAAATATATAGTTATTTGATTAAACAAAAAACTAGAAAAATATGTAAGTAAACAAGATCAGTAATCTGGGAGACATATTTATTTTTACACTATAGAATATTAAAGAAGTACATGACTTTTTTCTCCCTTGGTATCTGGCAATAAAATATAGAGATCTATATTAGAAAATGCTTTGCAGGCACACTTTCGTATTGATATTCCAGTCAATGAAATTTTGACAATCGTATTAACACAAAGGCAAAAATGATCCGTTGGGGCAGAGTCAATCACATTAAAACTTGCATGTCGCATAAACAGTAACATTTAACATATTAATAGTTTTTACTCTTCATTTCGTGGTCTACAACACAAAAATCTTTGACGAACAAACGCCAAGCATATAACGTTGATAGGAATGGGAAAAACATATATGTCTATATATATATATATATATATATATCTATATGATAACACTGTCCATTAAAGGTACATCTCCTAATATGAAATCCCAATTAAAACCAAACATCAAAATAAGTAAACATGCGTGGATGAACTTTAAGTTACCTGTGAGATGAGTTGAACTTAAATGGTGGACCATCGTAAAAGTTCACCAAGAAATCTTCCCCACATGTGACGATACGGAACGGTCTCGTTGGTTTGAATGCACAACATAAGACTCTTCTGGAGTGGCCATCAAAATCGCCTACACTCGTCCCTGAATCCCACCTGCATTAACATCCTAAATCGTACATCAGAAAATAACTACGTACAACATATATGAACTCGTACATATATTGATAGTGAGAGAGAGAGAGAGAAAGAGGGATAAACTGAAATAAGCAATTTAAATGCAGAGCATCTACAGACTCTGTCAAACGTTATACCAATTGAGAGGAAAAAAACCCACATGAAGGCGCGAACAAAGGACTTTCCCTTGCCATCCCCGCAAGCGACGATACGTAACCCGTCGGGGGACCACTGGAGATCGTCGATCCGACCCGAGAGAACCTTGAACTCATTCTTCAGCACGTACTCATTGTGTGTACCCCAGATACGGACTACGCCCGAGACGTCAGCGGAGGCGATCCACTCACCATTAGGCGAGTAGCGAGCTACGGTGACCGGGTATCCGTGCTCCCCATAGACAGAGACATCAAGCGGCCTGTCGAGGTTACGGATCAAAACTGACCTCCCGTTGCAGTAGAGGATGGAATTGGACTTGGGATCCCCGGAGATTAGGATCCCTCGGCCTCGCTCCGTTGAGGGGGCACACGCATAGGTTTCTGCCAGAGTTGCCATTTTGCTCTACTTCGCAACGAACACTGTTGAATGCTGAACTGTTAACTTGTGATTTCCGAGAGAGAATTTGGTTCGTTGTTTAAACTGACGGGAGAATAACGTCCGGAAAATGAGGGGGTTCGTTTGAACGAGTTCGCGGGTAATTAAATGGGCCTGGGCCCGAGTCTGAATTTCACCCTTCGGCCTGGCCCAGCAGAAATTCGAAAGTTAGAAGGAAAAAGATCCAAGATTTTCTTTAGTTTTAATTAATTAATATACGGAACTTACAATATATAATTAAATTACCGCCAAGTACTTCCTAGATATTAATTACTAATATGTGTATATATATATATATAATATTAATTTATACTAGGGCCTAAATTTCACCAATTATATATATATATATATATATATACATATTTGTGGCGTGTGGTTGCCACCAAATACCACTTTCTTACATGTGGTTTTTATAATTAATTATTAAATTCCAAATTTTTAATTTTTTGGCGGGTGCTTGCCACGATATTTCAAGCGAATTCTTTACATACTTTATTATTAAGTTATAATAATTTGATTTTGAATGTATACATACATATAAATCGTGCTACAACTTAGTGGATTATAAAAAAATGGTTTTGAAACTAGCGAACAGTTGTACATCATAATCGCATAATATATTTATATATTATAATTAAAATATCATTTTGGATCCATATGAATGCCAAAATATTGATATCAAATTATTGGTATATGATATTCTTTTAAAAAAAAAAATTTGATCTTTAATACGTCTAAAAAAGTCAAAAAAAAAATTCTAAACGTAGTCGTTGACTTTTCAAAGTTCAAAGTTTTTTCAACATTGATACGAATCAGTTCGTTATTTTATTTGTCTTCCAACATGCATGAGATTTTATTATAATTTAATATATTAAAAGAGGCTGATTTGTTTTTTGTTTTTTGTTTTTTTAAAGAAAAAGATTCACGTGAAGAAAAAACAAACAAGAAAAACAAAATGACGTGGCGTAAAAACTAGGCACGCCTTTGGCCTTCGTGTCTTTAGTATTTTCTTTTACCAACTCTCTCACTTGCCCATTTCAAAATCTCTAGTCCTCTGCCTCCACACCTCTGTCTGTACTAATTTTTGAGTGTCACCCGGTCGTAATGGCGAGAGTTTTGGTTTTCGAAATCGTGGGTTTATTGGGTCTGTTACTACTGTTTGGCTTGTGGGAAAATAGCAGTGAATCAGATGGAGTTTATAATCTTCGCGAGTTGAAAACGGTCGTCGATGACATTGGTGAAGAGCTTCAAGATACTCTGGCCAGAATCCAAGGTACTGTAAACACGATCTCAGTGTTGGGAGTAAGAAGAGAAGAGATACCCAATTAATCACGTTAATTAATTAAGTTGGTATCTGATTAAATTGCTGTTCGATGATCTGATATTTAATTAGTTTGGGTGTTTCAGGATTGTTTATTTCAGAGGAAGAAGATATGAAGGATGAGCTTTTAGATCCTGCAAAGCTGAGAATGTTTGTTGATGAGATTCCTGATATGCCGAGACTCAAAGGTTTTGATTTCATCAATGGTGTTCCAAAGCCAAAGACACTCAAGATTGGAATGTTCGTGAAAAAATGGGTAATACAAATTTCCTAATTACTCTCTTCTCAACCTAATACATATGAAACATTTTACTCATTTTTAACTGTTATCCTGCTTATGTAGTACTCGAAGACTTTATGGATCCTAAAAGTTTTATGACATAAGATACATAGAAAAATTATTACTTATGATAAGAGTATATATAAAGCAATTAGGTTGTAAACAAATAAATGATGGATCCAAGTCTTTGCTTGACATTTCCAGAAGTTCCACAAAGACCTTCCTGCAACATCAGTGTTTGCCTATGGCGCATCAAGGAGTACAGCAACTGTTCCTGGACCAACCATTGAGGCCCTCCATGGAGTTGACACCTATGTCACATGGCAAAATCACCTCCCTTCCGACCATATTCTTCCTTGGGATCCAACCATCCCTACTGCTATCCCAAATAAGGGCATTCCTACTGTGGTGCACCTCCATGGTGGCATCCATGAGCCTGCAAGTGATGGAAACTCAAACTCCTGGTTTACAACTGAGTTCAAAGAGAAAGGACCCACATGGACTCAAGAAACTTATCACTATACCAACAATCAACAACCTGGAAATCTATGGTATCACGATCATGCCATGGGTTTAACTAGAGAAAACCTATTAGCCGGCTTAATTGGAACTTACATAATTCGCCATCCAAGTGTAGAGGACCCATTAGGACTCCCTTGCGGTGATGAATTTGATCGACCACTGATGGTGTTTGACCGTAGCTTTCGTATCGATGGTTCCATATACCTGAATTCTACAGGAAACAATCCATCTATACACCCACAATGGAAACCAGAATATTTTGGTGATGTAGTAATCGTAAATGGAAAAGCATGGCCGTATATGATGGTACAAAGACGAAAATACAAATTTCGTCTCATTAATGCCAGTAATGCAAGATTTTTTCGATTTTTCTTCACCAACGGTTTGAGATTCATCCATGTCGGATCTGACTCGGCATACATTGAGAAACCTGTCATAAATAATGAAACTCTTGTTGCCCCATCTGAAATTGCTGACATAGTTGTTGATTTTTCTGAGTCAAAGACTAATATTGCTATTTTGGCTAACAATGGACCAGATGCGTTTTCACCATCACTTAGTAAGGTCATGAAGTTCATCATCAATAAGAAACTTGAGGACGACACGTCACGAGTACCTAACAAATTGATTGAATATCCATTACCAGATCCATTTAGTGCACCACTTACAAGATATATCGCCATGTATGAATACACTAGTGATACTGATGAACCTACCCATCTTTACCTCAATGGCAAATCATATGAAGAACCAGTTACAGAGATTGTCAAGGTGGGGGCTAGCGAGGTGTGGAGTGTGATCAATTTAACAAAAGATCATCATCCGTTCCACATTCATCTCGGGTTGTTTATGGTCTTAGAGCAAAAGAAGTTGGTGAATAGAGATGAGTTTGAAGAATGCATGAAGAAAAAGAATGATGCGATCGAATGCCAAGTAAGCAAGTATGCACGTGGCAGGAAATTAGAGGTGCCAGCACATCATAAAGGTTGGAAGAATGTATACACGATATCTCCCGGGTGTATGGCAAAGATTCTTGTTAGATTCTCTTATATACATTCGAATGAATCGTATTCCTTTGATGCAACTGCAGAGCCCGGCTATATATATCATTGTCATGTAAGTACACTCTCATTTCTTTTTAATATATATATATATATATATATATGTTTTATAGTTTCCAATCTACTAAGAAATTCATATGCTAATATAGTATTCTTTTCAGAAATTTAAAATAAATAATCGAAAGAACGTAAATTTTATTTTCTACCAAAATTATAAGATGAATCATAAAGTGTATGTATTACTATAATTTATAAAACTTATATTTAATTTGAATGGTTATAAATTGGTAGGTGTTCACTAATTTCATGCATTTAATTCAATTATAAATAATCGCGAATACTGTTAGAGGTCTTTACTTTTTTCTTTGACACATGCAGATATTGGATCATGAAGACAATGTGATGATGAGGCCCTTGAAGCTCGTTAACTAAACTTCATAAGTGTGTATATGTATATATGTATATAATTCCACTGATGCATGTAGTTTTTTGGAAGGTATTTTGAGATCCATATGAATGCTAGTTCGTGCTTTTCTTTTCAAGCCACGCACTTGTATGAGCTAATGGTTATAGTTTATATAAACATTTACGTGTCAACAAAATTTAGCAATATATACAAATTAACATACAGTAGGAACTCAGTAATTTTTATATATGTTTGAGGGGAAACCATTTGCGTATTTGAATCCCACTACTAAGAAGATTAAAATTTAAAAAGAAAAAAGAAGAAAGGGGACAAAAGTTGTGATAAAAATCATGAAATAAGAGAATTGGGACCTGTCATTTCACTTCTTTTTTTAAAAAAAAAAAAAATTATTCGAAGCCATCAAAGCTCAGCATAAAAGCAAAGCGAAGCCCTTCTTTCTCATTCGGAATCCTCCTTCAGTGGTAACCAAAAGTAGAAAGAATATAAATCGTCGTCAAAAAACCGCAACTCGGTCTCTTTTCCGTCGCCATGGCAAAAGCTTTGCTGGTAATTTACGCGTTGGGTTTGTCAGTGACTGTACTGGGTCTGCTGAGTTCATGCGCAGAAGGTGAGGAAGACGAGGTTTTGAATCCTGCAAAGTTGAAAATGTTTGTCGATAAGCTTCCTCAAATGCCCAGAATCCATGGCTTCCGACTCGTTAATGGTTCTTACAAGGCCAAGTCACTCAAGATTGGCATGTTCATGAAGAAATGGGTAACTTCGTTTTTTTCTCCTACTTTTTTTCCCTTTTTTTTTGTGGTTTGATTATCTTTGTTTACCTGCTGTATTTTTCTCCTGAAATGAGGTGTAGATAATTCTGTGTTTTGGATAATTTGTAAAAAATAAGAATAATTTAAAACAGGAAAGCAAATACTATTCATCGTGGAGAAGAACAGTGTTTTTTTCAGAATTTTTCAGGGTTGAAGAGATTTCTTTAGGATTGAAAAAAAAAAAGTCGGTCATGATCTCTCAGGTGTTTCTCTCTCGGTCTTTATTGAATGCTTAGTTTCAACCAATAAATTCATGAAAACAAGCCAGTGAAAGATCCAGAAAATTGCTTCAATTATGTTATTTTTGAAATGATTATACCAACCACACAACTCTCGATAGAGAGCAGTTCTATTTATATTGAGATTGATTCAACTGATTACATAGAAAAACATGGTTCCATTATCACCACGATCCTATTTCTAAGGACCAACTGGTGCATTATCTTACTCCACTTACATAACAGTTATTTGACTAATTCTAACAGCTTCCCTCAATCACAACAAGTTCTGGATATGTTGAGATTGTTACAATGAGTAATAAAAGGATATCTAGACAGTGGTTTGGTCAGAATATCAGCTACTTGATCACTTGATGAAATGAATCGAACTTCCATTGCCTTGCGTGCCACTTGCTCTCGAACAAAATGGAAGTCAACTTCAATATGTTTCGTTCTGGCATGAAACATCGGATTTGAAGTCAAGTATGTAGCTCCTAAATTATCACACCAGAGACGAGGAGCCTTTGATTGATACACTCCAAGCTCCTTTAGTAATGATTTGATCCAGATCATTTCTGCAGTTAGATTTGCAATGGCTTTGTACTCTGCCTCTGTACTTGACCTGGACACTGTAGCTTGCTTTCTTGAACTCCATGAAATCAAATTTACTCCAAGGAACACAGCAAATCCACTAGTTGATCGTCGATCATCAGGACATCCTGCCCAATCAGCATCCGAAAATCCAGACAGCATCATTGTTTGAGACTTTTGAATTTTAACACCGAAATCTAGCGTACCTTTGACATAGCGGAGGATTCTTTTTACCGCGCCCCAATGAGTATCAGTAGGTGCATGAAGGTATTGGCAAACCTTATTCACTGCAAAAGCTAGATCGGGTCTAGTCATTGTCAAATATTGTAGTGCTCCAACAGTGCTTCTATACTTGAATTGTTCATCAGTTGATAAGGGTATTCCCTGTTCTCTCAATAACCGTTCAGCAGAACTCATTGGAGTAGACATTGGCTTGCATTTTTCCATGTTTGCTTTCTTCAACAGGTTCAAAGCGTATCTTCTTTGTGATAGTATGAGACCATCTCTTGTTTTCTTAACTTCAATACCCAGAAAATACTTAAGATCACCCAAATCTTTAACTGCAAAATCTGTTTTTAAATTTTGAATCAGACTTTCGGTGGCTTGATCAGATGAGCTCACAATAATTATGTCATCAACATAGATGAGCATATAGATGGTTATATCCCTGTTTTTGAGGATAAACAAAGATGAATCAGCTACCGAAGCCTTGAAACCTAACTCCATAAGTTTTCCAGTCAACCTTGAGTGCCAGGCTTTGGGTGCCTGTTTTAAACCATACAGGGCTTTCTTGAGCTTGCATATGTAATTCTGTGGTTTGTCTGGGTCTTGAAATCCTGGTGGTTGTCTCATGTAAACTTCCTCTTCCAAAATACCATGTAAAAATGCATTTTGAATGTCGACTTGCCTCATATTCCAGCCTTTTGTTACTGCTAATGAGAGAATAACTCTGATTGTTGAAGGCTTAATTACAGGACTGAAAGTATCACTGTAATCAATACCAAACCTTTGTTTGAACCCTTTGGCAACTAATCTTGCTTTCAATCTTTCAACTGACCCATCTGCCTTTCTTTTTACTTTGTACACCCATCTACTGTCAATGAGATTGATTCCAGGTTTGGGAGGAACGAGAACCCAAGTTTCATTCTTCTGCAACGCTGAGAATTCATTATTCATTGCTTCTCTCCATCCTGGGTTGCGCATGGCTTCCTCCAAGTTGTTCGGTTCAGCAACTGCATCTGTCATTATGGTATGCTTCAAATTGTTGACAGCAGCAGTTCCTGCAAAACTTCTCGAGGTGTCAGAGTATCTTACAGTTCCATCAGTGAATTGTTTTGCTCTCACAATGTTGTTTTTCGATCGTGTTTTCATTGAGTGTTGATTACTTGCTTCAGGGATTGTATCACGAGAAATGTCATGTTCTGGCAGTTGTTCTTGAGCTCGGTTTTGATTGTTGGTTGAGCTATTTTCAGCTTCGTGTTCGGCAATTACCTCATGATGTGTTGTATTATCTGCAGGAAGCAAACTTAAAACAGATGCATCATTAGCAATATCATCAGATTGACCATAACTCATATGAGAATCACTAATAACTGGTTCAACATTTGTGAGAGCATGTTCAGTGTAGACTGTGGGGTTGATTAATACTGGAAGAAGAGCAGGTTGATGTGAGTGTTTGATTTTAGCTGGTGACTTAGATTCGTTAAAAGGAAACAAGTTTTCATCAAAGATTACATCTCTAGAAATGTGGATTCGGCCTGTACTTCTGTCTAAGCATTTGTAACCTTTATGTGAAGAGCTATAGCCCAAGAACACGCATTTAGTGGTTCTGAAACTTAGTTTCTTGTTGTTGTAAGGCCTGAGATTGGGCCAGCAGGCACAACCAAACACTCTAAGAGTTAAGTAATCTGGATTTTTGTTGAACAATTTATGAAGAGGGGTGTCCTGCTGTATTGTTCGAGTGGGCATGCGATTTATAAGGAAACATGCTGTATTGAAGGCTTCATCCCAATATGACAGAGGCATGTTTGATTGAGCAAGTAAAGTAAGGCCAGTATCTACAATGTGTCTGTGTTTTCTTTCTGCGATCCCATTTTGTTGGTGTGTGTGAGGACAAGAGATACGATGCTCAATACCAGTAGATTTGAAATAATTGTGCAAACGATGATATTCACCCCCCCAATCTGACTGGACAGAGCGTATTTTTGAATTTAGCATGGTTTCAACATGTTTTTGAAATTGAAGGAAAACAGACTCAACATCAGACTTGTATTTCAAAAAATAAATCCAAACATATCGGCTAAAATCATCAACAAAAGAGACATAGTATTTAGAATTGTTTACTGAGGAAATAGCTGGACCCCAAACATCAGTATGGATTAACTGAAGTGGTGCCGTGGATACATGCTGAGAAGAAGCAAAAGGTAATTGATGAGCTTTTCCTAGTTGACAAGCATGACAAATTAGGGAAGATGAAACACTAGTATCTACAGCTAAATTATTATCTTGTAAAATCCTAACAGTAACGGGAGAGGCAGGATGGCCAAGTCTTCTGTGCCACTGTTCTTTCGAAAGTTTGGCTGTGAGCAAGGCTTGATTGGAAGAATTTGGTAGAATGTAGAGACCATTCTTACATTTACCGGTGAGTAGGAGCTCCTTCGTGACTCGATCCTTAACAAGAAAACAATTTGGGTGAAATTCCACAAAAGCATCATTATCAGAGGCCAATCTTTTTACAGAAATTAAATGTTTATTGATTTTGGGAGCATAAAGAATGTGTTTCAAAACAAGAGATCTAGATGAACCAGGAATTAATGAATTCCCAATATGAGATATAGACAAACCTGAGCCATTTGCAACTTGAATCTGATCGGTGCCAGTGTAACGTTCTCTGGTGGTAAGTCTGTCTAGTTCACTGGTGATATGATCTGTGGCTCCAGTATCAATATACCAGTTTGCATCACTAGTATATCCACTTGTTGCTAGAGCTGCTTGTTTGATGTTGTCTTCGGCTTGATATGCTTGATCAAACCTGTACCAGCATTGTAAGGCATTATGATTGGGTTTACCACAAATTTGACAGAGATTGTTTTTGTCTGAGCTGCTTTGTGTTCGTGGTTGTTGACGTCCAGGATTGATTCCGATACGCCCTGTTTGTCTACGGCCACCGTATGATTGACGGCCACGACCACGACCGTTGCGAGCTCCATTGATGCCTCCTCGAGTAGTCATCCTGTTAACATTGTTAGCAGATGAAAGCTGATCAATTGTACCATTACGCAGGTGTCGCATCTCGTAAGTCAGCATGTGAGCATATACATCGCTGATGGTGTAGACATCTGTTCTTGTTGTAATGCTAGTGACCAGAGAATCATAATCTGGACCAAGTCCCTGTAGCATGTATGCAATAAGCTCTTCATCTTCTACTCGTTTGCCAATGGCTGCAAGTGTGTCTCCGAGGCGTTTGATTTTGCGAAAATAATCTGCAATTTTCATGTCCTTCTTTTGGATCGTGGTGAGTTCCATGCGAATTTGCATTGCTCGAGCTCGAGACGTAGAAGCGAATTGTTTCTCCAACGTTGTCCAGGCTTCTCGTGCCGTGATAATGCCGATCATAGTTCCGAGAACTTCTTCTGTGACAGACGAGTTGATGAGACTGAGCACCAGCTGGTCCTGGTGGTACCAAACTGTGTACTCGGGGTTGATAACAATGCTGCGGCCATTTGTTGCTTCACTCGGCTCAATGGTGATTGTTTGGCTAGGTGCAGGTGTGGATCCATCAACAAAACCAACTAGCCCTTGGCTGCGTAAGTAAGGAAGGATTTGAGCAGACCACAGCAGATAATTTTCTTGGGTGAGTTTTACACTAATTACCTGGTTAATAGATGGAGAAGGCACAGTGCTAAATTGGAGAGGAGATGAATGAGAGAGTGTTGAATGAGAGGAGGTAGACATGGTTAGCAGTGGAAGCTGGAAGTTTGTGAATCAACCTGCTCTGATACCATGAAATGATTATACCAACCACACAACTCTCGATAGAGAGCAGTTCTATTTATATTGAGATTGATTCAACTGATTACATAGAAAAACATGGTTCCATTATCACCACGATCCTATTTCTAAGGACCAACTGGTGCATTATCTTACTATTTGAATAGGTGTTATGTGATGGGAAGAAATCGTTAATGACGATGATCCATGACAGACCAGAGAAACACTTGATATTTTGATCATGCTGGCGCGGTGATCAATTGGAGAAGAAATTCACATTGGCTTTCCATTCTGCTTAATTAATTATATAAATAACCATGAATACATATTAATTAAGTCTCATTTTCTTACAAACAACACAAGAGGGAGAATGAAAGGATTATTACAACTTACGAAGAAAAGAAAAAGAAGAAGAAGAAGAAGAAGAAGAAGAAGAATATATAGATTGCTCTACAGATGGAGTGATGTATCAACATCAGAGTTGTCCAAGTTCCTGGAAGTAGTACTGGTTGAAGAATTATTAGGCCATAAGGTGGATGAAGATGGGACCATCATGGCTCGGTAATCTGGATGCCAGCCTTGCGAGTTAAGTCCTAAGGAGACAGATGAGTCTGGATCAAACACCTGCACCCTGCGCGTCGTCGTGGTTGCGATCATCTCCGGAGGAGGCTGGAGAGACAACCTGTTAGGATCATAACGACCGGGCGGCGTCCTCTCAGACTCGGCGGCGGAGAAGAGTTTAAGAAGCTCTCTCTCTTCTCTCTTCTCCCTCACTCTCTGCAGCTGCCTGAACCTTTCTTGAAGAAGAGCAATGGAGGAGGAAACCACAGTGGGATCGTTTCCATTATGCTGCCTACCCATATTGATAATGATGATGATAATCAGAAGAGGAGGGCTTAGAGTTATTAAACGGTGAGTTGAATATGATGGGTTTGTTTTGTTCTTGGTTAAAAACTAATCCATGAACCCGTTATTTATTTATGTGTGTGTGTATATATATAGGGGGGGGATATTGGGCGTGTCCTGTTAAAGAATAAAAATAAATAAAAAAGGAATAAGTAATTGATACTTGGGTGGCCGGGGGGAGTGATGAGAATCGGCTGCTGTGCCGGAAAATCCAAGAGGAAGTGAGCGTAGAGGGTGTGTGGGTTGGGGGATTTTGTAGGCAAAAAGACTTTTTGAAGGGGAAATAAGTTTTGGGGGGAAAAAGCCAAAAGAGGGATGGAGATTAGTGTTTGGAAGGGAGCAATTTGGGGAATAAAATGGTTAGGTGATGCAGTGTCCTCATTTAAAAATCAACGTAAAATGCTTTGTAGAAGATGGTAAAGCTTTTTAGTATGTATTGAAATTTCAGAGAAGAGGTGTGTGTGTGTGTGTATATTGATGTGTAAATATAAATTGAGTTTGTCTTGGCTTGAGATGGAGTTTAGGGAGTTGGGAGAGAGGAAGAAGCCAAGGATGAGAAGGAATATTTTTGGGAGTTTGATGTTGTTGAATGGACAGGTTTGCGGAGGAAAGAGAAAAGAAACCCACCAACATCATCTTTTTGCTTCTGTCCTTTGCGTTGCTTTTTGTTTTGGCAGGAGCTTTTGGGTTTTGACCCTCCTCTATTACGAGTGCCGTGACACGCAATTCAGGCCACCCACTCGGCACCGACTGGAAATCAATCAACTCGCTCTACACCGCCTCCACCGTTTACATCAGACTTTGTAAATTTTTATTAAAATTTCATCCGTTCATAATCAAATTAATGTTTAATTTCATATAAATTGTTAAAAAAAAAAAAAAAAAAAAAAGTATCTAATTTTCCAAACAAGGCACATTCTTTCTTTCTTTCTTTCTTTGGGAGTTTCTAAAACACTTTTTTCCCCTTTCGTTTTGTCATATGATTTACTCTTCTGGCCCATTTGTTTTTGGAGGTTGTTGGATAATTGTTTGATACATTTTTTGGAAATAGAAAATTAAGGTATGTATTGTTTTGTGTATTTAGCAGGATTGTTAGCATTCACCATTCTAACCTCTACATTCCAAATGTCATGTAGCCTTTTAAGTGTTCTAAGTGCCATTTTCCCTATTTTATTTTATTATGAGTTGTGTTTTTTGTTATCATTTTATTTTTTTATATAAGCTAAAATTATTTCTTCCTCTATTTTTCGTTTGATTTTTATTTTTCAAACTCAATTGCTCATTATTAAACTATTGTAGATTTTTTAATTTTTTTTTTTTGCATAGTTCTTGTACTTTAAACTTTCTTTTTGTTGTTATTGTTGATTGTTTTAATTTTTAAAATCATCTGTATAGTATAATTAAGTCAATATATTTTTCATTATGTTCTTACAAATTTATATTAAATTTTGATTTTTTTATATTTTACTTTCATTTTATTTTTATCTAAAGTTTAAAAGTTATAATGAACGAAATAATTTTATAAATTGAGAAATTAAATTATAACTTAAAAAACAGAATAAATTGCTGATTGCCCCTTTTATTTTAAGAATTAATCATATATATTTTTTATTTTCACCAAAAGGTGAATCCTCTCGTTCGTCTTTCTCATTCTCCCGCTTCCCTTTCCTCACTGCATCTCAACTCAAGTTCTATCTACCGCTTGGTTCTTGGTCTAAACCATGACTGACGGTCACCTCTTCAACAACATCTCTCTCGGAGGCCGAGGTGGCACTGTGAGTACTCTTTTCTGACCCTTTCAATTGCTCGATGGACGTTTAATTTCTGCTTTTTTTTTTTTTTTTTTTTCGTCTTTTCGATTTCATGTTCTCTTCGCTTATCTTGAAACCCTATTTTTTTCTTTTAGTGCAATGCTAGTTTTACTGTGTTTGGTGGGAGGAAATAAGCGAATGTAATGGATTATTGCGAATAGTGTTTGTTATTCATTAGTTCTTTACTGACATCTACTGTGGGTTTATATTCCGATTGCTTTTGGAAAATTTGTTTATAATTGTTTGCTCAGAAAATCGCCTGCGAAGCAATTTCTTCTGGCAAAATTATTTATGGTATTAACCGTTTGCTGGCTGAGCTTCCATTTATTTTCCCTGCCCACCTCCTCTTTAATCCCTAGGTTTCTTGTGTTGTATGAAATTGTCTTTTTTCCTCTAATAATGATGTAGTATGATGCCAAGATATTTGTTGAAGAATATTTCGAACTTGTGTTACTTCATTTCAGAACCATGACGAAATGTTCAATTTCAAGTTTATTTTCGCCATTGTTTGTCTTGTAAACTTTGGTAAAGAAACTGAAAGTTAGAATTGAATTCCATCAATTTTTTGTGTTGTGGTTTGCAGAATCCAGGACAGCTTAAAATCTACTCTGGAGGAATTTTATGGAAGAAGCAGGGAGGTGGTAAGGCAGTGGAAGTTGATAAATCTGATATTGCAGGGGTCACATGGATGAAGGTTCCAAGAACAAATCAGCTAGGAATTCGAAGCAAAGATGGGTTATATTACAAGTTCACTGGGTTTCGTGACCAGGTTAACATACACCCTCATTATTTTTAGTGTGTATTTGGACAAGACAATGAAATTTCAGCTGTATCGCAATAGTTTAAAATTTAATTTTTCAGAATTTATCCTTATGTTTGTCTCTGTACTGGGGTTTTGTAGGATGTTGCTAGTTTGACTAGTTTTTTCCAGAACAATTGTGGTATAACACCAGAAGAGAAGCAGCTTTCTGTTAGTGGTCGTAACTGGGGAGAAGTTGATTTGAATGGTAGGTGATCTTTTCACCTTCAACATTTCAGTTATATTTGATTTTTAATTGATTTGTATTCGTCTACTCACTATTTCCCCATGCATATTGGTGTTTTGTGTTTTGTTTTCATGGAAATAAACTAATGAGATGTTGTTTGAAGTTCTTCTGTAGTGCTTTACATTTAATCATGTTTGGGACCTCTGCGTCCTTTATGTTCCTTACAGTTGTGAACGATAATATTCATCTACTTGTGTATGCTATAAGTATATTTTTTGTTTATTTGAAATATTTTTCTATCTTTTGAGTAGCATTGGCATTGTTGGATGGTTTTTCTTGTTACGGTGAATTCCAAAATTTAAATGGTAATTTGGGTTCTCTCAAATATTCCATATAGAAGTGGTTGCACAATGTGGTTTGAATGCAATATTATGTTGTTTTTAGCTAGGACCTATGGTCAATAATGTTGTTTTATTATACTCTATAATTACATGTCTAGTATTTTTTTACTAGGACTTGACGTGGTCCAGTAAATCAGCTGATAAATTATATAGTGCCCTTTTCTTTGAAACAATCAAAGCAACGATCTCTTCATTGTGACGTTTTCTGTCTGGATTTTGCTTTATTGTGCGTTCAGCTTTTTCTCCTTTCTAGATGTATTTGGTGTGTATAGGGGCAGGGGACATCCTTAATTCTTTGGGAACAATACATTCATGCTTGGTAAATTTCATATTTTTTAGTTAGTATCTTTGCACCGGTATCCTATTTGCAGGGAATATGCTGACGTTTTTGGTTGGTTCGAAGCAAGCTTTTGAGGTATCTTTAGCAGACGTCTCACAAACACAGCTTCAAGGGAAAAATGATGTCCTCTTGGAGTTTCATGTAGATGATACCACTGGAGCTACAGAGG